GGACCCAGCCCTTTCGGGGAAGCCGGCTGTCCTGCACCTGGCAGTACCACCATCCATTGGGGTTTCTCTCCAGCACTTCCAGGCATGTTCCTTCAGTGAAACCCATAGTCTCCTCATCGCCACGGTAGTCTGCGATGGACACGTACACGTCCCTGCCGAGGTTGTTGTGTATAAGCTGGCTCTTCTCGATGGGCTTGGGGCGCACAGTGGACACTGGAATCCCATTGCGCTGGCTTGCTCTGCTCAGGGCGTCTGGGACGTTGTTGGTGCTAAAGGAGCTTCCTGAGCACCCTAGACCGGAGCGCTCAACCGGTCTCGTCTGGCTCTCAACAACGACATGCGGCCGTACAGTACTAAAAGAAGCATTTCTGCGAACTCCAAGAGTGGCGGAACCGGAGCTGTAGTGATCGCTTCTGCCGAGGGACTCATTTCTCCTTAAGGAACTAGTCATGTAGTGGGAATCCTTAGATGTCTGTGAAGTGGTGACAAAAACAGACTGGGGCCTGACCGCCACCTGCCGTACCCCGTTTCTCATTCGTACACCTCCATTAACCAATCCTGAGGGCTTTGAGAAACCTCCAGGGGGCTTGGAGGGAATGGGTGGAGAATTCCCCCTCAATCCTTGGTGCTGCTGGGTCAGACCCTGAATGTTGATGTTATTCAGTGCCAAAACATGCTGCTCATTCTTCTCCAGGCTATTGGACTTCTTCCCACTGTTTCTACGTCCATTTGACTCCAACACACTGGCGTCACCCACCTTCTTGACAGGTTCAAGGTAGTATGAGGGAGCCCAACCCTCCTCTGAGCACCAACGGACGTACCACCAACCACTCTCCTGCTTCTCCAAAACCTCGACTTCTACCCCTGCCGGAAAGCTGATCTCCGAGTCCTGGACCTTCTTGTAGACATCTACAGAGCGGTACAAGGTGGGTCCTTCCACGTCTGAGTCCCCTCGGCTCCCTTTAGAGTATACAGAAGACAAATCGGATGTACTGTGTGAACACATAGAGCCCTCTGAGGAGATACTAGAAGCTGTCTCAGAGTCGTCTCCACGAGTCGATTTGAGGTTATGTCGATACTGACTGGTAGGCCTCAGCTGTCGTCTCAGAGAGCTGATGTCCATTCTTTCAGGGCTCTGGGGTTCCGACTTGGTCAGGAGAGGTTTAGGTCTGACAGAAGGCTTGGGTCTGGTGGAAGGGCTCTGACCAATTCCTAGTGCCACATCTCGTTTAAGGGCAGGACTTTTCTTTGGACCTATACCTTGTTCATCTGATGATAAGTGAGGGCTGCTGTCCTGAGACCTCGTGTCTGCATGTCTGCCGAGTGTCTGGCTTCTTCGGCTCATCTCTGGCGTTATAGTTTTCCTGGGTAAACCAGCTAGAGGGGAAGATCCAGAGGGTTTCCGTGGGACTGTTGAGGAATGGTAGCTCCTTGGGGAACTGGGTTCACTGGAACCTTTAACTCTGGTTCCTTCAATGCCACTGCTCAGCTTGAAGCCATCGTTCTCATAGATGCACTCCGCTTTGCTGACCTCCTCTACAGACCTGAACGAGGTTCTCCGATGAGGGAAAACAGGGGATGCTTTGCAGACCGGAGGCGAAGCTTTACTTGATGGAGGGGAGCTGTGGTACTTTTCAGTTACCACATTGCTGGTCTTTACCTCTTGGGAGCGCTCGTTCTTCAGAAACTCACTGTTAGATTCGCCTTCACTTCCGACTGCGGGAATATCATATTCTGGCTCCTCATACACCGGCCTGCTGGGCTGCTCTGTGGCTTTGGAGGCAGGGTTAAGAGGTTGCGGGGCCTCCTCAGAGTCTTGTTTTTTGACTGGGGGAGCTGGTGGAGGAACTTTGGGTCGAGTGAGAGTGCTGCTCCGTCTGCTGAGGTTGGGCTTCTTGCGCTTGTCGATGTACGAGCAGGGGGCCCAGCCTTCCATCTCTCCGATCTGCACATACCACCAACCTCCTGGGTTCTTCTCTATCACCTACACAACAAACAAATGCTCATGTTAATAGGGTCAAAGTAACACGCATTTAATATAGGCTGTGTTTAAATTAAACAGTGTTTTATGGTTAGTATTAAAAGAAATAAACAAAACACTGATGTTTCATCCCACACATGCATGTCTTATGCTTTTGAAACAAAAGGGGCTTAAACGATTCTTCAGCGTAATCAATGATGTTGGTTAAATTGATTTGCCGACAATAACTCTTATTAGGAAAACATTTATTAGGGTTTTATCTTTTTTATTTTGATCTTTGTAACAACTGTTCTCCAAATTGATGTTTAAGGAGAATCGCCGCTGTGCAGCCTACAGCATGTCTTTCTGTGTCTGCATCAGCTGATTTTGGCTCCAGTCAATGGCTGGTTCTGCCTGGCCTACTTTCAAATAAACTGGGTTATAAAAGTTTTTAAAGTGGTCTAAAATATGAGACTACTGCCAGTTACCCAACGATAAACTAAGGTTTGAACGTTCTGCCGGTGTTGTGAAGAACAGCAGCATGGTGAGAAACTAAAGTGATTGGCCGAAGGGCTACCAATGAGCCGGGAAGAAAAAAAACCTATCCTAATTTTTTTTTAAGCTGTTGATTACCTCAGGCAAAACAAGTTGCCTGTCGCCACCTGCGTGTGTTACAGGCAAGCCACTATAAATACAAGCCATTATAGGGTTGGTCCCTATTGCTATATTTTAACTAAAAGGTGCAAAAACTGGTCATCTTACCTCCGTATTTGTATTCTGATTGGACTGAGACCCTTTTTTATTTGCAGTTCAGTCTCATAATATCTGACATTTTGAAAACTCAGGCCTTTCTTTTCTATATGTAGTACACAAATAAGGGCAAATTTTATTTTTCTCAAAATATTGTTTACATTCCATTTGTAGGACCCAAAAAAGTTTTCTGTAAAAATAAAAGATATAACATATAGAAAATGTATTAATCTAAACATGAATTGGTAGATCAAGAAAAAAAAGTGTTAGTGGCAGCTCCAAAATCCAGTTAAATGCTGATAAATTGCTTCCACAAATGATTCCCATGATGTTTAATGTCTTGTTTATGATCACCAGTTGCCCCATGAAACCCCCTTAAGGTGTCTTCAATGGTGTCTTTATCTTTATGCCTGAGTCTCTGCAGAGAAACCTCTCCACATGATCTCATTTAAACATGTCTCAAGGTCGCACTCCGCTGACATACATATGCAATCAGCCCTCTCTCATCTCTGCAGCAGCACTCTGCATCTGTCCTCTTACATCAGCCTTTTGTCCTCCATGGAAACTGATGCCATCGGAGATGGAGGACTGAAAATCTGCTATGGTGTAATACTCTGCTTCCACAGCAGGGGGCTCTGGAGGCTTGGGTAACTGGAGACCCTGAGAAGGAAGGTAGAGGAGATGGACTCAATCAACATGCAATCATGTATTATAAATGTTATAACATGTATAAAATGAATATTATTTGCATTTAAGGAAAAAAATCACAACTTATAACTTTTTAGTCAGCAGTAAGTTTGTGGTTTGTCTCACCAAGTTGGCTTCTCTTCTTGGGGGAGGTTTTTGCCTCAGATTTGGAGACCCTGAAGAACACAATAAATCCTCTCAGTCTGATCAGAGTAACAGAGCAACAATAAAATCTGGCAACAAAAACTTCACACATGAGTCTTAGTTTGTGAGAGAAAGCTCTCACAAACTAAAATTATGTTAGATCTCCAAGCAGGTTAGAATGGCAAAAATAATTCAATTCATCACAATCATTTCATGCAAAACCAGTCAGTCTTACCTACAGCTTCGAAGCCTACACAAAAAAGATGACATATTTTACCAACCAACAAAAACAAACCAGTGTCCTCATTGTACGGCAGATGATGTACTGTTTTCTTCCCTGATGTAAAAAAGCTAAATCAGCTTCAGAGTTCCCAACAAATCCTTACCAATTTCCACTCTGTGTGGAGCCACTCGTGCCACAGCAGGCGACCCGGGTTCTCCTCTGCCTTTATTCTCACTCAGAGCAGAACTCGCAGCTATTCCCAGACAGGGACTGTTCGTGTCACGACCAGCGCTTAGCCTCCTGCCTGTCTCTGCGTTGATTTCTGAGTTATAGGGCATGGGCAGGCTGATTTCACTCTTGGTGATGTGGCGCTCCGGTGTGTTGCTTCCCTCTCCATCTGTCTGGATGTCCTTCTCGCTGACAGATTTCTTCTGCAGCAGGTTGCTAATCTCCATAATGTTTCCGATGATCTCCACAGGGCCCGTCAGTGTCTTCTTACGAGGTGAGAAGTCATCTTTAAGTTTCTTCAAGTAGGAGGCCGGGGCCCATCCCTCCTTTCCTAAATATCTGTTGGTGAAACAGACCCAGTAAAATCTTTTTATGTCATATCTTGCTGATTGTTTTCTATCTTTCGATCTTTATACACATCACTGATGGATCAACCCAAACATGGTGTCTTCCACAGGGTTTGGGATTCCAAAGAACTGCTATAAAATGTATGAAACCAAAGCAATTTAGCAATTTATGCTTTATTTTTTAACTGATCAGACTTTCTAGGAGATATAAATTATTAATCAATAACTTCCTGTGGCTCTGAGATATAAATAATTAATGATAAAGAGGCACATTTCTTTTAGCCACACTTCAAAATGGGAAAGAGAGGAGAACATGCCAATGAAGCAAGGAAGACGTGTTGAACTTGATAGGTCAGGACATGACCACAAGAAAACGATTACGGTCAGAGTAATAATTACAATGTTTAAACCAACTGTGACAAACAGAGGCTACCACACACAGTAAGGAGGATGGTAAGGCAGATCAGAAAACTCCTAAAGCTCACTGTTAGAGAAATGCAGCATAGAGTGACATCTTTGCATCCCAGAGACTGTGTTATCAACCTTTAGATGCAATCAACTGTACATTGCAGCTGGCTGATGCATGTCGGGAAACATTTTCTGTCCTACTACCTCAAACATAAGCATCGATTTCACTAAACTCTACACTGATTTACTGGGCTGCACAGTGGCACAGTTGGTAGCACTGCAGCAAGAAGGTCCTGGGTTCATTTCCCAGCTGGGGGTCTTTCTGCATGGAGTTTACATGTTGCATGCGTGGGTTCTCACCGGGTACTCCGGCTTCCTCCCACAGTCCAAAGACATGCCTGTTAGGTTAATTGGTCTCTCTAAATTGCCCTTAGGTGTATGAATGAGTGTGTGCTTGGTTGTTTGTGTGTTGCCCTGCGATGGACTGCGACCTGTCCTGGGTGTACTCCGTCTCTCGCCCATAGACTGCTGGAAATAGGCACCAGCTTCCCCGTGACCCACTATGGAATTAGCAGTAGAAAATGACTGACTGATTTTAATTAAAACTGTGTGCTTTGGTCAGATCAGACTGTGCGACGCAAATAAAGAATATGCAGAAAAGCACTCTGCCTGCTGATAAGCATGGTGGAGGATCTGTGATGCTGTGGCCCTGCTTCTCTTCCAAAAGCTTGGGCAGCCTTTTAGGAGCACAGGAGCACATGAGATAAATAAAAAACAGGTTGATTATACCAGAAAACTGAAAATGTGTCATCATTGGGTCGTTCAAGAGCAGGGATCTTCAACACCAGCCCTTAAGTGCCACTGCCCTACAATGTTTGGACCAGCACTCCAACACCACCAACACACCTGAATCACATGAATAGTTAATGACTAGGCCTTTGCAAAACCTACTGACATGACAAGGAGGTAATTCAGTATTTTGATTCATGTGTGTTGGAGCAGGAATGCATCTAAACGTAGCAGGAAAGTGGCACTTGAGGACTGGAGTTAAGGACTGACTGAAGTGCTGTTCTTTTTGGCAAAATGGTTGTCCAAAGCATTAAAAGCAGGCGCACCAATAATTTTTAAATATAGATTTGTTAATGTAAGATCCAACATATATATCTGCCCTCAGCAAGTAAGCTCTGGCATTAACAACCTTATTATCAGGTTTAAACTTTAAAAAGAAGCTGAGGAAAAGAAAACTGCAGTCAAAGAGCTCATGGCTGAGGAACAAAAAAAGGCAACAGATAAGAAGTCAGCTGCAGGAACAGGTAAACTGCACAAATTTATGCAAAGTTTCTAGTGTGGCTTAATAATCCTGAATTGATAGTGAGAGGGTCAACAGTCTGGTGGTTGACCAAAGATTTTAGCTGCGAAAAAGCTTAAAGTGCCTCAAGATGACCCTGTATATGACTTGGTGGCAAATAACTAAAGAGAAAAACTAAAGAAATATATTTATGCAGAATTAATAATAAAATAAAAATATACATTTGTGTAAATGGCTTTAAAGTAGGGCAAGGAAATAATAAAATAATACAACTCTCAACAAAATCCTAACAAAATTAGTACATGACATTTGTTATTAATGAATTTATATATTATGAAATATTTGCTATGGATTATCTTGAGGACCAGTGGAGCTCCACTTTTAAAGCCCCACAGGAATGGAAGAAACAAACAACATTGCTTCAGAGCACACAACATGTATGTGCAAACACACATGTCAGATATTCTCAGTGGGATGCTCACCAGGTCACAGAAGAACATCACTTCAACACGATGATGACAACAAAAGGCTGGTTGGTCTTTGAGGACTCACTTTGAACCCAGTTTAAAGAAAGAATCTCCTTCAGACAGGTCTGTTGACTCACCTGATGTACCACCAGCCCTCCAGGTTCTTCTGGATTACCTCCACTGTGACCCCTTTCTCAAAACTCACTTCATCTGCCCCTTGGCTAGTGTACGGCTGGACAGTCAAATATTTCTCCTCTGTTGATGAAGAAGGGTAAAGAGTCAAAACAAGAATAAAACATTTCTTCTTTGGAGGAGAAACGGCAAGAGCGACCTTCATTAAAAGCTTCCTCTGCTGCTTGAACTGTCCTGATAGTTGCTCATTTCTGGTAGCTGATTTAAGCTACCAGATTTAAGCTTGTGCACCCTGTTGCACAGAGGATATTTGTCTTCAAGTTGTGGCCCTACATAAGGATTCTTTTACAGAAGATATTTGGGCTAAAATCTGTCTTCACAGATCCCTCTCTGACCATCCCTCTGTCACACTCTGATTACCCTCAAAGACCCTGAAAAATAAGGAAATCCCTCCATGGGTTTCATGGAGAGCATAAGGAGGGTTTGGATTTTCTGGAGACCAGGCAAAAGAAATACTGGTCAGACCAAGCCTCTCATAAATAGATGGAACAACTGGGGGCTGTATTAGATATGCTGTTTCTAAATGAAATGTGAACAGCAAATTTCTTAAGTGCACCAGAGAGAACGTAACCTTAGATGGCTGGAGGAAACTAGATTGTTAAACACAAAGAGAGGAAATGCATTTATTCTGGAAGAGTATGGAGTTTCCACTATAATCTGAGCATTAATAAACAAATAGAATCTATGCTTTTATTACCCAAAGGCTCAGATAAAAGATGAAAGATCCATTTGGTCAAATGTATTAATTAGATCAGCAGTTGTTTTCATGTCCATGAGCCACAGCGCTGCAGCAAGAGCTCAGTGAGAGAAGTAGCTGGTCAGCAAGATTGTGTAAATCAAATTAGGGGTTTAATGTCTTTAATAAGACTCAAACACAAACAGACTTAAAGGAGAGCTGCCCTGCTGAGATTGATTTGTTGTTTGGAGAGGTGGAGACAGCCTTATCTGGCTGTGTGACTGAGCACAGGTGCCTCAAACTGGAGACGTTTAGTCATTTCAAACAAAAATCCTATATACTGAAGAAGTACTTTCTGTTATTAGAAATAGATAGGGATGGCCTGATTAGGTCACCCCTAATAATTAGGACAATTAAGCTTCTTGTAGGTATCCTCTGTTTTTGGTGGTCTTCACTAACTTCTCTAACATTTGTGGGCGACTGTGGGATACATGGTCGTCTCGCCATCCGAAAGTTGTGGGTTGAATTCCAGCGTCCTCCTGTCACATGTTGATGTACCCCTGGGCAAGACACTTAACCCCACATTGCCTACCGATCTGTGAATCGGTGTATGAATGTTTGTACATTAGCCAGTGCAGTTGGGTGAATGTGGCTCTAGTGCAAAGGGCTTCTTGTGCCCAGTATGACTAGAAAAGCACTATAGAAATTCAGTTCATTTACCATTTCGCTTCACTCCTGATGCCACAACTTGTTCTGAGGTGATTGTTCTAAACATGCCACCTCCTTGCAAATCAAATAAGTTTTCCAGCCATCTCTAGTCCAGATGTATAGAGGTCCAAAACAAACCATTCCTCCTTCTGATCTGATCCTGACGTTTATGCTTTTCTAAAGTTATTTTTCCTTTCATCAATGGGTTTTTTGATTGCACAGCACCCTAACTTTCAGTGAGGCAGAGTTAAAAATGTGACCAGTATAAAAAGGTTGAATCACTCAGCATGTTTGAATAACTGAAAGAGAAGCAGGATGAGTTTGAGCAGTAGTGGAGTTTTAGCTGAACTGGTACCCAGTAAAGTTTAAAACGAGGTGGAATTCAAGAAGAAGGGTTCCTAAAAGGTTTAATGGTCTCATTCTCTGGTGGCGACAGCTAGCCTGGTGACTCATTTCAGAGGCTCTTCGGGGGCTGAGGTTGGTGTGATTAAAACCAGTCTCCTGATTTGACTGCAGCCCCACTTTAACACTTTTCCATAAGATCATTTCTGGGCCAAGACTCGCAGTTCTGAGGAGACACATCTGGTGAGGTAAGCGTCTTGCAGACCAGACTGAAGAACTACTAAGGTTGATCACATCAAAAAGATGCAGTAACTTTTTAGATCTTCTGCAGATCTAAAATAATGTTTATGTCACATCCAGGAAGCCCAGAAAACTATTGATCAACAACTATTGATCATTACTAGTAAGTCTGACTTTGGAAGCATCACAAAAAGATATGAAAGATGCTGAATGAATTAATCAAAACAGTAACAGACTTGGGACAAACTAAGACAAATATTTCAAATATGGAGTCTGGTCTAAGTTTTGTTAAAACACTTTGTACAAAAAGACACTTTGACAAAGAGAATAGTGTAATTCTGATTTTTTCTTCTGTAATTTCAAGTTAATCATGCAGAGCCTCCCACTAAATATTCAAATCAATCAATTTGAGCCACAAAGAAGACATTTGCTGAAATTAAACAGGCTATGTGGTGTAGTTATGAGGGATTTAATATAAGAAAAAAGCTGCTGAGTAAAGTAAGAACCACAGACTGAGAAAATGCTGGGTCACTGGTTGCTATGGTGATTCCTGTCTGTTATAGACTGGAGTCAGGGTTCACACACCCCTACTCTTTTCATCAGACAAACGGTCGCTATCAAAAACAATAACTAGTAGCAATATATTATGTTTTAACTGTAGCCATGGAGATAAAATTTTGTGCATAAAATCTTTAACAATTAAAAAGTTTCTGAAAATTTTACAGCATCTTAATGAAGATTTTATGAGATCAGGCTCAATGCTAACAATCTGCAGTGTTGGGACCCACAGCCATGGATACAACATGAAAGATGCGGTACAAACTCTTCTGGAACTTTCAAAATAAATTGCATTAACCGACTTCCAGCAAGTTAGGAGGGGGGGTGTCCAGCGGACTTCCCATGATGCCACTGCCCGCATAAAACCCCCACCTTCCCAAGGAACCGACTTCTTCTACGCGGGACCTGGACAGAGAGACCCAGCACGCTAATATCTCTATGCTGGCAAACAGACATACTGTAGCTCTTCAACTGGATCCAAGGGTATCATAAGATCACGCGATCATATGCACAAGTTAAGTACAAATGAATCACTGTATGTGTATCCGGTATTCATTCAAGAACGAGAATAATTAAGGTACAAGCATTGCCTGATTTTCTCTCTGAGGCCTGCAGAAGCAAACTGTGTTCCAGAGAATTCCCTGCAGAGACGCTGTCTCTACGAAGCCGAGTGGAGCAGTTTCACGGTCTCAAGGAGGACAACAGAGACCGCATCACCGTGGTAACGTGCAGCTTGGTCGGCCCGACAGCGAGCCTTGTGTTTTTGAGCCACAGACTTTTTTAAACTGATGTTTCTGATGTAAAGTCTGGTAAAAGTTTCACAAAACATTCAGCAA